GTCCGCATTATCCGGGGCAGCTTTCATGTCCGCATTATCCGGGGCAGCTTTCATGTCCGCATTATCCGGGGAAGCTTTCATGTTCTCACTATCCGGGGAAACCTTCAATTCAGCGCCACCTCCACCCCCTTCCACTTCGGCGCCATCTCCAATCGACTCCACGTTGGCTTCCCCCGTGCACACCCTTCTTACCTCCCCGACTTCAGTCTCCTGGGTACCATCGCCCCCCTCTGCGGGTTCCTCCCCCTTCTGCTTGCAGTTGGTCTCCTCGTTTGACAGTTTTTCCTGTACGTCCTGCTCCGCTTCGTTAATCGGTTCCAACTTCACCGCAGTTGCCACTGCCTTCTCGACCTCAGTGGCCACTGATTTCTCCACCTCATTTTTCACCCCTTTCTCAACCTCATTTCCCCCCCCTTTCTCCGCCGCTCCACCCGTCTTGCCTCTCCCTTGGGAGGCACCCCTGGGCGCCCCCTTGACTGCCCTCTTCCTTTGTCCCTTCGACCCGACCATGGGATTGGCTCTGGCATCTTCCTCCCTCTCCAGCATCAACAACAAGCTGCTCTTCCCCCTCAGCTTATTCTTCTTCTTCCTGTCCTTACTAAACATAAACTTCCCCAAAAAATAGTAAACAAGTTTTAGCATGTCCTGTTCGGAGTAGTCCTCAGCACCCTGACCATGTTCAGGCAATTCTCCCCGTTTGGGGAAAAGGAAACTGTCTGTTCTATTTTCAGAGTTGATTCTTCTGTATGTCTTCCCCCCAGGATTCTTCCCTTGCCCGGGAAGTTTCTCTACGTGGTCATCATTTGTGCCGTGTGTCGCTAAGTTCGCTTCGACACTGGCGCAGGGACTGTTCACGCTGGTGCCTGCAGCGAACACATTGCTACCAGTTATGTTTTCTGTGTTGGTGAATGTCACCGTTGGGTTAGAAACGTCGTAAGTCTCAACACATTGCGCATCCTTCCTTCGTCCACTGGCACTTATGTTACTCGGAAAGCTCTCCGAGGTGCCAAAAGATATCTGTTTATTTCTTTTCTTCTTTTTTTTATAATTATACTGACTCTTTACCGAGTCTACACTTAACGCTTCATGGCTACCACCACCGAACCCGTCTTTAGAATCGCTACCCCCGCATCTGTCATTATTCTCCACATTAGCTAGCTCCTTTTTCCGCAGATAAACTGTCTGGTGGTAATTTCGGTAGGCATATAATAAAAGATGGAACTTTCTAAAGGGGAAATTATGGCACACTTTTTCTTCATCGATGTAGTTCTCGATGAGGAGGTTCATTTCGAGGTTGTCCATTTTGGGATGTCACTTTGCAATGTCGTTTTGGGATGTCGCAAGCGGTGGGCCAATTAAGGTGGACAGTTAAGGGGGCCCCTTCAGATGGCCAGTTAAAGCGGTTGCTTAGATTTGCCGCGTAACGTGGCCGCTTAGCGTGGCGGCTTAGGATGACCAATTTGGGAGACTCCTCAGCGTAGGCCCTTTGGGTGGGGGTCTCAAGTGGCTACTCCCCGCTGCTATGTCTTGGGTCTCCTCTTTGCGCCCCCCTAACGGAGCCCCCGTAGCGTCTGCACAACTACCTCACGATACAACTGTGGGATGCCTCGGTGGTGGGCAGTAAGCGGTAGGCACCTGACAAACAGAAGCGCAGGTGCCAATTCCTGTGCATCTCTGCACCACCCCTAGCGGCAAAGCGGCGTGTCAGCGCAGGGCGTTTCGGCTCGCATGGTGAGAGACTCCGCCCATAAGCGGGAACGCACGCGTGGCGGATGTTCTAAGCGGCGTGACAGTCTTTGGAGCAGTTTCCTGAACAATCTCAGGGAAAATCTCCGGGACAGTCTCCGGGATAATCTCCGGGATATTCTCCGGGACAGTCTCCGGGATATTCTCCGGGACAGTCTCCGGGATAGTCTCCGGGATAGTCTCCGGGATAGTCTCCGGGACATTCACCTTCCCCATGTCAATGCGCAGATTACCTCCACACAATGAGCCCAAAGAAGTTTACAAAATGGGATGAGAAAAAGAAAAAAACAAAAAAAAAACAAATGTGTGTTTATCTAGCATGTATGTACGTATGTACGCGAGTGTACATGTCAGGGTGTAATGCCTTACTACGCTCACGCTACTTCAAACGTGCAGTTTTGCGTTGGGGGACACAAAAATATACACTTAGGGGGTAATCTCTCCTCATGTGTACAAAAAATGATGACGCTCATTGTTCCCTTAATTCGTCTTCCTCTCATATTTTATCTGCCGCTGCGTTTTCTTTGCACGAAGGAAAAAAATCCTCTTAGGGGAAATTCTGCCTAGCGTGAAATTTGTGCACTCAGGAAAAAAAAAAAAAAAAAAAAAAGGGGGTGAGGGGGGATGGCGCACTTGGGTTGGGGGCATGACGAGAAAAAGAAAAAAAAAAAAAAAGGAAAGCAACCAAGTGGGAAAGGCAGCGAAATGGGAAAGTCATCGTGCGGAATTAAAAACAAAGTGAATGCTGCACAGTGGACTGCAAAGCTAAAAGGAGTCCTAAAAATGGATCATTAAAATGTGTCCCAAAAATGTGTCATCAGGAGGGGTCCTAAAAATGCATCGTCAGAATGGGCCACCAGACGGGGGAAATCCCACGATGGGGAAAATGCCTTCTCGAATACGAGTATAAGAGGGGGAGTACTACCCCCCACAAATGGTATCTTCTCCTTTCTGGAAAAAATTCTGATCCATCCAGGTGAACCTTCACATGACGGCTATGTTCACCCCCTCAGGTGTACAGCTTCCACCAGGGATAAGCATCACATAGGAACGCGCGGAGAACAGACAATGGTGTAATATGGCAGACGTCCCCGTTCCCTTAAAGGGATCTCTCCCCTCCGTCCAGGCACAGTTGTGCAATAAAAAAGAGACACCCCCGCTGTCCTGTCTTGCATCGTCACCATGATTGCGACGGAATGCTCAAGTGGGTGAGCCAACGCAGCAGCATGTCTACGGGAAGGGACTCCCCCATCCCCAAGGAAGGAAGCAAGCAACCACCTAATGAGTACCCCTTGCTAACGTCCAACACATCCGCTGTGGACATATTTTGGGTCGTTCAAAAATAGACAACACAGAGGAGTACCCCACCCCCGTTGCATCTTTCATAACTTAGTTCATTTCGCTGCCTGCCCCTCAGGGGAGTCTCATTTTTTCTTTTCTGTTTGTTCTTTTACGTAAAGGGGGGACAGCACGCCCAGTACAGACACAAACAGGCAGACACTCATGTATAGACACAAACAAGTGGATACTCATCCACAGACACTCATCAGAAGACACTCATCAGAAGACACTCATCAAAAGACACTCATCAGAAGACACTCATCAGAAGACACTCATCAGAAGACACTCATCAGAAGACACTCATCAGAAGACACTCATCAGAAGACACTCATGCATAGGAGGACACCTCGCCAACGTAAAGGTTACAAAAAAAAAAAAAAAAAACTCGGAACCGTTCCCCACAGGGTTGACTCTCCACTGGTGGTAACTAAGAGCCGTACCGGAGGACACCTGCATGGGTATCCCCAGTTCCCCGTCGAAAGGACCACCACCGGCTCTTCCAGCTGGGATAGTAGCCCGGAAAAAAACGGACGTCCCAAAGAAGCCATGGTGGAAAGCATTATAAGGGTGGAATAAGAGGATACAAAATTAAAGGCAAAGAAAGGTGCACATAGATGTCACGTGGATGGGTATACTGAGTAGAAGCACAAGGAGGTGACACGATCCCCGCCCCCCCCAGCTTCTACGATTATTATCCTTTTGCCCACTCTGATATCCCGGAAAAGAGAGCATGCGGCTGGACCCCACTGACAAGTTGGCCATACACACACATTTTCGCAGGCCATGCACAGAAAAGAATGTAATAGGGCGAACATGCAGGGGTGAAGTTGGGTGAAGGAGGTGGTACCCCAGCAGAGGAGGAACAAAATGAATCCAAAGAATTGGTGAAGCGTGGAATTTTCAGCCAAATGAACATCAAGTGGAATGTAAAAAAAAAAAAAACAGTAACGTCGCAACAGTTTTTACTCAAAGGAATAAAATGCAACTTCCCATAAGGGGGGTTATCCTCCTCAACAAGGAAAGGTGCACACACAACAACACCTCTGCTTAACTGACACGAAGAAGGCGGAAGGTATTCTTTCCTTTTTCTGCTCAAATATGTTGTTCTGTTTGTCACTCAATCAGTTTCTTGTGACACACCAAGCGAGGTGTAACCACAACAACGCATTAAGTGAACTATGACAAATGTGGCAAAAGTGAACAGCGTAAATAAAAAAAAAAAAAAATAGGAAAAACTGAACCAGATGGTGTAACGCCAAAATGGGATTTTTTTTTTTTTTTTCCCCTTCTTTTTTAAGAGATACATAGCAGCACGCTGCGATCTTCATTTGTTCACTACAAAAAGTTATCCTTCCGTGCCAATGGTCACCCATCGTGCGCAAACTGCACAGCGGGATCGATAACCACCACGATAAGAACAGCGACAACAATTGCGACAACAACTGCGACAATAACTGCGACAACAACTGCGACAACAACTGCGACAACAACTGCGACAACAACTGCGACAATAACTGCGACAACAAATGCGACAACAACTGCGACAACAACTGCGACAACAACTGCGACAACAACTTCGACAACAACTGCGACAACAACAGCGATAAGAATAGAAGAGAATTCGCCGCTCCGTCATCTCTTCCATTTCGTGGAGGGCCCAGCTTGTGCGATGAGGCAGAGGTTACCGAACACATAGTGTGCACTTTCTCTCCTCCCCGCTTCGCCGCTTAACCATTTCGCCGCTTAACCACTTCGCCGCTTAACCATGGCGTACCACCTGGGGTCCCCCTTCCCCAATTTCACCGCCACCGCGTCAAACGTGGATGGCCCCTTCGACCTGTACGATTATATGGGCGACATGTGGTGCATCCTCTTTAGCCACCCAAATGACTTCACCCCCGTGTGCACAACAGAAATGGCACAATTCGGAAACATGTATGCTGAGTTTCTAAAATCAAACTGCAAGTTAGTTGGCTTCAGTTGCAATTCCAAGGAGTCCCACGAGAAATGGATTGAAGATATTAAGCACTATGGGAAGCTAACCCAGTGGAAGATCCCAATCGTTTGTGATGAATCTAGGGAGCTAGCCAGCAGATTAAAAATCATGGACGAGAAGGAAAAGGACATCAAAGGGTTGCCACTCACATGCAGATGCGTCTTCTTCATTTCTCCAGAGAAAGTTGTGAAAGCAACAGTACTATATCCGGCAACCACTGGACGGAATGCCAACGAGATTTTGCGTGTCCTTAAATCGCTGCAGCTGACTAGTGAACAGCCCGTGGCAACCCCCGTGAACTGGAAAGTGGGCGACAAGTGTTGCGTCCTCCCCACCGTGGGGGATGCAGATCTGCTTGCTCTCTTCCCTAAGGGGGTGCAGAAGGTACAACTTCCGTCGGAGAAGCCCTACCTGAGATTTACGTCCCTTTGAGGAGAGAACCCGTCACTCCACTGTCGTGTTCCTCTTCCGGGGTGCACGCACCGACGCAGTGGAATGAATTTTTTAAGCGTGCACTTTGGCGATCCCCCCTTGGCGACTGCCCCGTTCGCAACCCCGACTAACTCCTCATGACGAACTGCTCATAACGTGATTGTCAAACGAGACACACCGGCCGCAGGTGAAATTTTTTCCCCATTGGAAGGGGGATAACAGAGAGAAAAAAAAAAAAAAAAAACAGTTTCCCCCTCTTTACGGGGGGGGTAGGTCAAACGAGAAAAACAAAATACATATGTTAGAGAAGGCTCTCACGCCATATATGCGAATGTGAAATCTCTTTTCACCCATGTGGGCGCACGTAGTCACACCTCGGACACTAAGCCCGCTGAGCGCACAGGTAGCGCAGCACGTGGGTGTTGTCCCCATAGAGGTGCTGTAGCCCGCTGTACACCGTGAACAACTGCTTCAGGATGAGCAGCAGCGCGTTCCGGTGGTCTTCAGCCGCGTGGGGAGAGGCTGCCCTAGCCTCGCCGCCCTCCCACGCCTTAGTGCTTCCGCACCCGGAGGAGTGATGACCCCCCAAATCGGTATTCATGAAAACGCTAAAGTGACTCGTAAAAATGGCATTCAAATAGCAGAGGTGAAGGTGGATATGCTTCATCGTATCGTTAAGGAGCAGCACCTTGATAAAATTAAGGAGGAGAAAGACAAACGGCTTCGTGAGGATCTTCACACAGAGGGGCACCACGTGGTAGGGGGTCGTCTCATACACCTCCACCATGTGTTCGTAGCTATTTAGAGCCAGGCAAAGGAGGAATGCCTTCATGTATTCATTCCTCCTCAGGGCCATCTTCAAATTCGGCACATTCACATGCTCTGTTAAGTATTGCGGTTCGTACAGTAGGGGGGCCACGAGTCCGCGGTAGGCAGCGCCGCCCCCCGAAGTGAGGTCCTTCCCATGCCCCTTTCTCGAGAACAACCGCACCGGAACGACGTATTGAAACTGGTGATCCTTCGTAAAAACGTAGAGACCGCCGCTACTCGCAACAGCCACGTGTCTGTCGTCACCAGAGATGCTCAATCGATGCAACGTAAGTTTGTGCCTCTTAAACTTATTAACCATCCAGTGTTCCTCCAAACTTCCAGGAAGGATGCTGTTCTTTTTTTTCCTATTATCGATCCTGTATTTGTCGATATAGACATCTCCTTCCTCATCACTGAGGTCGAATTCACAAATGTTGGTACCCTGGGAAGTGAGGTACCTCCTTGAGATCTCCCTCCTGATCCCATCCACGGAGAAGTTTGAAGTCAAGTCGATTATCTTCATCAGAACATACAGGTTCGTATCATAGATATACATGGAGACGCTACAATTTGCGCATCCAATTAGATAGTTCCCATTTTGTATGTAATCTACAGCAGTGAAGTAGCAATTCTGATTCACCACTGAGTTTATCCCTTCATCCTCCAAATCGTCTTTGTAGACATAGTCAGCTTCTTTTCCATTCCGCTTCTGCGTTCCATTCGATATCTTCTTCCGCTTGTTCATACGAGGGATGGATGAGTATTGCTGTCCAATGAAGTGTCCCCTCTTAATGTCCCTCGCTCCTTCCACCGTGCCAATAATCTCTTGAGAGTGGACATCCCAGAAAATGATTCTACAATTCATGGTGCATATAGCTAGAATGTCATTTCCTCTGGGATCAAAACACATAAAGGAGACATCATGAGAATTTATCATCTCATCGAATTTGCTTCCTTTGTTCCTTCGTGCGTATAGATCCCAGAGTAGGACCTTTTTACTCCAGGAGCAGCTTGCTATTATGCCTTCATTTTTGAGACTCGTGCTGAAGCAAACCTTAATGATTGGGGAGTCATGTCCGTACAGCTTATCGATACATTTAGCTGTCTGTACATTCCATATGTACACGACGTATTCGGCCCCTCGACCCCCTGCAGCGATGATGTTCCCACTTAGGTTAACGCTCACACAGAGGAACTGCACCTGCAGTTGCGGGACCCCTCCATTGGGAGAACCGCCGCCACTCACGCCCTCCTCCTCCAGCCCACACGCCGTGTACACCTTAAAGTTCCGATACCTCACGAGGTCGAACGCCCGCACTGTGCCGTCCAGCGAGCACGAAACGAATGCATTCCCCTGGGGAAGGAAACACACATCCGTCACTGCATCCCTGTGAACAGAGAAGGTGACGAAGTTCATGTAACTGACGTAGTCGTATAAGCGAACACTCCCGTCTTCACTCCCCGTGACGATAACAAACTTGCTACTAAAATTTTCACTCTCATGATAAGCATTTCCCGTTTCTACGATGTGACTCCCTATCTTCAGGTGACTAATGATAGGTGAGAACTTCACACATTGGACGTTCCTGCTGGTAGTACTCTGCTTCATAATGTAACTTTCGCTCTTCCATTCCCAAACTATCACCGTGCCGTTGTTCGCCTCCGCCAGGGCTATCCACTGCCCATCGCTACTAATCGTAATGTCGTCGATTGTGCAGGCGTTTATGCTTATCGTGTATAGCGAGGTCATTTCCGGCGCGCTGTAGATGCTGAAGCGCCCGCTCGAGTAGGCGATCACCGCCAGGCTGTTCTCTCGGCTGAAACACGCGCTCGTCACCTCTTCGTTCTTCTCCTGATTGCAGAAGTAAACCTTCTTCTGCCGCCACCTCCGCGCGAACGCCTTGGTGGGGCCAGACAATGTGGGAAACGGCTGTTCAGACGGTTCCTCGGTCGCTTCTTCGAGCGGTTCGTCTAGCGGTTCGTCCGCCGCTTTGTTCGCCGCTTTGTTCACCGCTTTGGTCACCGCTTCGTCCATCGCTTCTCCCGCCGCCAACTTCTCCTCCGCCGCTTTCTCGTAGGACCAGATCAAAATCAGGCCCGACTTGTTCACACTAAAGATGAAGTCCCCCCCCTTGGAAAAAAACGCCGCCACAATGGTGCTCTTGTTCCCGCCCAAAACGGTGGGCCGCACCTTCCGCCTCTTCTCCACCGTGTGGATCCGAATGGTTAGGTCATACGAGCATGTCAGAAAAAAACGGTCATCCTCTGACACATCAATCCATGTCACATTCAACGAGTGGTAGCAAATGTCGTTGTACTTAACCAACCTGTAGTTATTCTTCCTGTGTGGACTCTTCCATATGACCACTCTCCTCCCGATGCCAAGCAGGAAGTACTCCCCCCTGTGTGTGAACAATGCGCAATTCACCGTGTCCTGTTCCTCTTGAGGAGAGAACATATTCTCGTAGTTAAAAGAAGTCACAATTCCCGTCTTGGACTTAAAAAGTATCCGAGATATAATCTGATCCTTTAGCAGATTTAATATGCACCCGTACTCGAACTTATCGATCGTTATGGCTATTTCCATGTTGGGATGAATTACGATGTGCCTCAAGTCATTCTTACTCTCCGATCTTAGCGTGCTGCACTTGTTATCGTTCAGATCGTAAACATTGATTCGGTTGTTCACTGGCACGAAGAGAGAGTTCCCATCCCCGCTGAAGCGTATCTTCCCCCCGGTGTACACGCACCCGCAGATGTTGCTTAGGCTGTAGTTCAGCATGGTGTGTGCTTCTACGGGTAGGATTCCGGGTGGGGCGACAGTAACCCAATGGGTGGCAGCTTCACGCCCTCCCCAGCCAGGTTCAAATGAGACGTTTGAGCGTCGTACCTCGCTGAAATGGGAAAGATGATTTCACGCTGGTGGAGTACAACTCGCGCCTCCAAAAAAGGGGCATACATGTATGTACGTTTGTACGTTCGTATGCACGCTTCTATGTATTAGGCATACTCATGCGCGCGCGTGGAATCGCTCTCCCTAGATCATGCTTACAAAAATAAATTGGCCGCACGCATTTGGCCGCTCGGTTCAGCTCGGTTGATCTCGCCTCCCCTTCACCTTCGCCACTGGGCAGGTTTCACCTGTACCACTTTTTACTCTCGTTAGGGGGACAAGATAAACGGATAACGACGCGGTACACGACGGGGGCTGTATTCCGACGAGGCACAACCCCACGGAAATGGGTTTTCCCCTCAAACGGAAATTAGACTACGATGAACTGTGAACGGCGCTCAATCTATGGAGACTGTCGAACTGTTCTTTCGAAACAGAAAAAAAAAAAAAAAAAAAAAAAAAAAAAAAAAAATTGGTTTAATTATCGAAAAAAAAAAAAAAAAAAAAAAAAAAAAAGAAAAAAAAAATGACGTGCCTCTCCCTTCGCAGCTCGTTGCGAGTACAGGCCGGAACATAAACCCCATCTCTCCACGTAGGGACAAAGGAACAACTGCCTCGTTAACGCTGGAAAAAATTGAAGAACTCTATATTTCGCTTCTGCAAAGCAGCAACAAAACAGAGTTCGCTCTTGCATGGCTCAAATGGGGCGAGGTTGCGCCGCGTCGTCGTCAGGGGTGGGAAATCGCGTTGTTGCCAATGCGTTGCTGTTACTTTGTTGATACGTTGCCAATACTTGCGATGTTTGCCGACGCTCTCCAGATAATATATTTTTTTTTTCTCGTGGCTACCGAGCGATGCCCCGGAAATTTTCCCCATCAATGTTTTACTCCAGTGCGGGAAAAAAAAAAAATGCCCCATCCGAGGAAGCACGAAAAGGGTTCATTGGCCCGTTGCGTTTACGCCTCTTTTTTACGCGCTCTCTTCCAAGCCCTCTTACCTCTTTATTTTTCCCTTTTCCCTTTTGCGTTCTTCCGAGCACGAGGCAAACCCTGTCGCAGGAGGCAAACCCTCTCGCGCGAGGAAACGCTGTGCCCATAGGCCCAGGCCTCACTCCCGACAATTCTTGCATGCCCAACCTTAACTCTAGCTGACTCCTTCAAAACAACGAGGCGATGTCATTTTTTGCGACTCGACCAGTGACACATGAGATCGTCACTTCCAGTGGCCCCCTCAGCAATTGCGATACCTGCAGAGTTTCTCCACCTTCATTTCATTATTTCGCCCCCCCTTCATGCTGTGTTGTTATCGTCATATTTGTCACATCGTGCCTGACACATGCACGACGTTTATCTAGCCACAACTGAATGGTAGCATTTTCAAAGCAACAACTGTGCTAGCATTAGTCATCGTAACAAAGAGACGCAGAACAAGGCGATCCGTTTGTTCCTCCCCCTTGGCGCAATTAAAGCCCCGTTGGGTAGGCACACATCGTCTTCTCACCTTCGCCCACCTCCGCTAAACGAAAAAGTGATCAGCAAGAGGGAAGAAGAAAAAAAAAAGCGTCGTACATAGGAGATAGCCTCCATTTTTGCCTGAACAGGTCAGAACTTTGTTCATGTCACTTTTGTACGTCGCCTTTGCTCCAGTGTGATGACCCGCAGAGGAATCGCAACGAAACGAAGTGCCTCCCCTTCTACGCTTCTCCCCTTCCTTCTCACCCACCGCGCATCCAGAAGGTTTTCCCAAATTGCATAATTTCCAAACTGCTAGTCGTACCACGTGATGTCTGTGTGTGCGCTCTGTGTAGTGGAGAAGATGCTAAAAAGGAGAAAAAAACACCTGAACAGCTGAGCCAAAACGGAAGAAATAGCTGACCTAATTGGGCAAAGAAAAAAAAAATAAATAATAAAACAGGAAAATTAGAAATTTTCCTACCCAAAGGGACTAACCACAGCAACGGCGGAGCAACCCGGGAAAACCGCGCTGCTCGCATGACGAAGAATGCGTCACGTAAGAAAAGACAGAACGACGAGGAGCTCATCTGTGATAAGAAGACATAAAACGCACGCGCACAAAGACGACAGACTGCACCCCCATACAGACACCCCAGGAGTTGAAAAAATATGAAAATTATAGAGCCAAGCAGCTGCAATGTAAGTACCATCAATCATTTGCCAAACGGCAGGTCTACACCAGAGCCAGTGAAAGACGAAGGAACATCCGATAGGAAAGAGGAACAACACGTTGCGAACAAGAAATCTCTCCATGTAAAAGTGAGTCGTGCACAAAGCGGGGGAGAATCCCCCCCCAATGTAGCTCCCCCCGAATGGAACACCCACACCGATGAAAGGAATGAGAAAGATAAAAAGAGAGAAGGCCCACCCAAAGGAGAGGCAAAATTATCACAGGGAAGCACAATGCCGAACTTGATACCAACGATGAAGATATGGGAAAAACCTAACGTGGGGAAACTTCCCCGGGGGAGACACTCAAATGGTGAGCACTACAAAGGGAGAGCACAGAAAAATTGCCAAGACGCACAGGAAAGTGCAAGTATCAATGAGGAGAAAAAGAAGAGAGGAAAAAAAAAGAAAAAGAAGAGTGATCCCCTTCCTGAAGGGGGTAGAAGCAAACATATAGACAATGTACCAGGCGATGAAGCAAACCGCGTGCCCCATTTGAAAAAAATATACACGTTAACAGAAGGAAGTGATTCTCCACAGAATTTGGGAGGCCTTACTGAACTGGAAGAGGACAGTTTCGTGGGGTCTCTCTCCAGTGAAAACTCGAATGGCCTATGCGATAAGGCAAAAACAATCAATTGTAGCTTTGGTGCAGATAAGATAAGTACCCACGAAACACCCCCCATGGGAGAGGTCCTAGCAGGAAATAGAACAATTAAGAACCCGTTCGACCCTCCTAGCGACACACGTAAAGTAGAGAAGACCCCCATCTATTGGCAGAATGAAGCGGTCGAGACCGCTAGACGAAGTTGCAATGGGGAAGCAGAAGAAGGGAGCATAAACAAAGGGGTGGGAGAAGCCAGCAGGGGAGCTACCAACGGGGAAGAACCCTGCAGGGAAGCTGCCAATCGGGGTGATGCCGTTACCGGAAAACTCCAATCGGAAGGCTACCACCCAAAGAGGGACACCCCAAGCGACGGTGCCAACAATGGGGACGACGAGGAAGGCAACAAACGTGGATCCAGCCCCACAGATGCAGCTACACCAGAAAACGAAATTGAGCAATTAAAAGAAGAAATAAAAAAGGAAGTATACAACAGATTAAGCATCGCACTAGACATCAATATGAACTTAAACGAAAATGAAAAATACTATGACCTTTTTAAAAAAAAAAAAAAATTCCGAAAATACATTATTAATAGCTGCAAGTTTGTAATCATCCTTGGGAAACACCTGAATCTGTCCTTCTGCACGATTTCACTCGCCCTGTATTATGTGCATAAATATCACGAAAAGGTTTTGAAGAAGAAGAAGAATGCGTTACCCTACTTGATTGGTGGTGCTTGTATTTTCTTGGCATGGAAAATGAGAGAGGACATGGAGAATCTGAAGAAGTCTAAAAAGCTGTACGACATTCCGAAGATGATTTTTAAGTTACTTAACTATTTTGACAAGAAAAAAAAAATAAAAAAAAAAATGAGGGAGGTACAAGTTGGCATGATCTTGAGTGGGTGCGCTTACCGGAAGTGGGAAGACCTTTCGGATGAACACACCTTCGGTTCGACCGCGGGGAAGGCGGATAAAGGGGAGAGCACAGGGAACGCAAGGATGGCAGGAAAGGAAGGAAACACAGCAAAGGAAGGAAACACAGCAAAGGAAGGAAACGCAGCAAAGGGCGAAGGTCCAAGTGGAAGGCGCCGCGGAGAAGAAGCCCGTCCTCCGGGGAAGGCATCCCAAAGGAGGACTCCCCCCAGGAGCGGCAAAAAAAAGCGAAAGCTCTCCCCCAAGGGTCAAGCCGAGAGGCCCCCTCCGGAACCGGCCGAAAGGAGCAGCCTACACCGACACCTGGCCCAGATAAAGCGCATAGTCAACGCGGGCTACGTATCTGACGTGAACAACATATGCCACGTTAGCGACTGCTTCAATTCGTATCTCTCCGAGTGCAACAGTAGGGACGTCTCCGAGTATGAGCTCGCGGGGGGGGAGCGCGGCACGAGAGGCGATCTATCTGACCACCTGCGTCACAGTCTACATGACGGTCTACGTGACGATCTGCCGCACAACCAAGAGGACCCCCCCCCCAAAACCTACCTGACCCACTTCCAACATCTGTGCAAGCGCGAGAAGCGAAAAATACACATATCCGCCTCCAAGTGGGTCCTAAAAAATTCAGGCCAGAAGCTCCAACTCATGCAGAAGGTAATAATATACTACGAGGGGGAAATCCTAAAAAGCATTAACTACTATTTGAAGCCAGATATATTTTCCTTCGAGCTGTTGCCATCGTTCATTGGACACTTTGCCAACATCATGAAGGGCTACGTGGCGGAGGACGAGGTAGTCAGCCTGGAGAAAATCGCCTCCCTCAGCATCCTTGATTATTACAAGACTCCCCTTTGTTTGGTCTTCACTTCGAAAGAGATCATGGTGGCTTGCATCCTGCGCGCATACATCTCGTTGAAGTGGATCTGCGGCCAGCTGGACCTCCGGGCTATGTCTCTCCAGGGTAAGCAGCGCGGGGGTGGCGCCATGGAGACATCTCATCCAGGCTCAGTCACCCGATTAGCGGTTTGCACTGCTTGTATCTAGTTAGCTTTCTTCGCATCGCTATAGTTGCCCCCCTCTCCATTATATCCTTTCCCCTTCCCCCCTCCATAGATTTCGAAAAAAAGGCGACTCGCTTCACAGAGCACGTCAGTTCGAATAACCCCATCAGGTGGGTCCCTCCCCCCGAAGGGGAAGCTCCGGTTCTGGGGCACACACTTTCGTCTCCTTTGAGGCGGCACCTTTGAAGCGGAACTTTTCCTCCTTGCTGCTCGAATGCGTGCAACTGGCCACTGTGTATCACTTCATTTTTGTCACCTAATCGCATTTTCCTCTTTTCCTATTTTCTTCTTCCCCCCCCTGCGATAGCATAACCCGGGTGAAGATAGCGTTGCGGGAAATCAGGCTCTTCGGCGAGTGATACAAGCGGTATGGCTCACTGAGCACGAGGCAGGGTCTGCTTGTGTGTCTGCATTCTGTACCCCCCAAAGTGTGTCCCTCGCGAGCATTCCAGCGGTGTAGACGTAAACAGAAAAAAAAAAAAAAGACGAAAACGGAGCTAAAAAGGACCAACCCTAAGGGAGGAAAATTTCACGTGACATCGGGTCGCAGTACTGGCGGTAATCCACCTTGCCCTCGAGTCTATGTCGCAGAACGTTGAAGTTAGGCACCATCTGCGCAGACGTCCATGTAGTAAGCTGGTTCTTCTTCGCGTAGAACCTTGTGAAATGCCAGGATGTTTCCACCATGCAGTGGGAACTCTGATTGGCCATTTGGTACTTCCCCAATTCAATCTGCTGAAGGAAGAATCCATTTACTTCCCTGTCTCGTCTGCGCAAATCTATCATGTCGTTAAAATACCTCTTCGTAAAATGCTTAACGGAGAGGTACTCCCTGGAGAGATTTGCGTGATTCTTCTCGATTTGGTTTTTTGTTTTCTTATCGACTTTCCAGATTTTTTTTTTTCTTTTCTTTAAATTGTATTCAGATGTCTCATACTCGTCAAGGAGAAACCTCTGTTCTGATTTTTTCACCTTGCTTTTTTCGTCACTGCAGTTTGGCGCGTTGGGATTTTGGAGGAGGCCTAGGTTCAGTTCCTTGTACTGGCTGTTTTTGTACACGTGGTGCATGTACAGGTCGGAGAGGAACTCTTGGAGGCTGCCCGCCTGGGTCGCTTGCCTGAGCAGTCGTTGCATCTGGTGCGGTGGAGATAGCTCAAGTGATTGTGTCAACCCCATCGCCACTCGCAACGCATCCATGACTATCCCCCTCACGATGGACATCGAACCGGACTTTCTCGAGTCCTCCCCCGTGGTACCGCCCCCACGGCAGCTACTATATACAAAAAAAAAAAACTTAACCATGTTTGCATTGAAATATATTGGGCAGTACCCCCGCGGGGTTCTGTTAATCTGGTCTTCGAGCCGCTCCATCTGCTTCCTCCCCTTTGTAGGTTCTTCGATGCATCTCTTTTTCGACCTCTCATACGCTCTGGAGTAATAGGCACACCCGCCCTTCCCTTTAACCACTCTGTTCTTCATCTGCTCAATCAGCTTTTTCTTGAAAATGTACTTGCAGTGTGTCTTGTCCTCCTCATGTAAAACGGGAGAGTCATCCAAATGGGTAACATGGGAACGTTTAAAAATGTTCGTCACTGCGGCATTTTCACATGGGTGTCTTTCCCTTAAAGAAAGACGCTTCTTGTTTCCCCCTCTCCTGCCAATAAGGGAGCGCCCACTCATCAGCATGTACTGATAAGGAGCGCTATTCAAGTTAGCATAATTCAGGTATGGTTCCAACGCAAAGGAGACCTTTTTGTAACGGACATATTCGTGGATGATCTGCTTCACGTCCTTCTCGAATGTGTAGGGGTTAACCAGGAGGGGGGCGCCTCGACAGACCGTGTGGCTGCTCATCTCTGTGTTTCCGCTCCTCCTCGTGTGGTGGTTCCCCTCCAAGGCCTCGTACAGGGCGTTCATATGACTCATATACACCATGTGCACGCTGTACCGTTTGCAGAAGCAGTAGTAGAGGAGGAAGAAGACGTCGAAATAGACTCTCAAATAGTTAAGGTAATTATACGTCGCTATGCATCTCCAGATTCGGAACCTAAAGATGTTTTTATTCTCGAAGTAGAAGTGGAAGTCGTGTTTGTATGCGTCGTAGAATTTGTAGATGTGGGCGATTAGGTTCAGGGAACGCTCGAATGGGGACAGCACGTCTTCCGCCGCTGTGTTGGACAGCTTCCCCGAGTGGCTTACCCCTCCGCAACACTTCAGTAGCAGCGCCAATGCGGGGGAGGACGCGCAGGGGAGTTCTCCAGTTTTTCCTGTCTCTGCTGCTTCTCCCGCCACTCCTCCTGCCGCTACCTGGACCGCCCGCGCGAAGCGACCCTCCCAGTCGTGCGCGTTGTACAGATTTTTGAAAACATTCGTGTCGCTGAAGCAGCGGTAGAACTTCAGGTTGCGCAGCATGCTGGGCACGATGTTGTTTTCCTTACCCCGGGGGCGCCGCGTCGCAGTCCGGTTAGGAGTTCGGCTGGGAGTTCTCCACTCAGCTCGCCGCTTAGCTCGCCCCTCCTTTAGGTCCCTCCCTTGTCTGCGCCCCCTGCTGAGGCTCCCCCCCAGCAGCGACTCCGCCTTGGCGCAGAAGCGCTCCAGCGGGAGGACCCACCAAAATGGGTCGGCGCGCCCCCCCCTTGCAGGCCGAAAGAACGTCCGTCCATGCACGTACGTGTCGAGGTCGTGCGCGTTCCGGATCCCCTGGAGCTTGTCGTCGGCCACACCCAAAAATAGATTAATAGACTTCTGCTTCTCCAAGTCGTTGAACGAGCTAATATAGTACCGCTTAATAGACGTCAGCAGCTCCTTCGATTGGACAAAAAAGTTGTTGCTCTGTCCAGGGGTATACTTCTTGTGTGCAGTAGAACCAGCATACTTCTTGGCTATGGCATCCCCCAGTTCTTCATACATCTGAGACAGATGTCCGACGTGGTTAACACATAAGGCCTTCCTCTTCACGCGGCTAATCAGCTCCAGAAAGTGTACCAGCATATACATCTTCAGAAATAGCTGAGCCGCGTTTGTCCTATCGAGACAGTCGACACAGTTGAAGCGGAGGATACCTCTCTGGATGACTACCACCTCTCCATTCCGAAGGTGGAAATAGCCCACATTGGATTGAGAGAAATTAAAGATAACCTTCAGTTTCTTGAGAGTGTATTTGGTGCCTATTTTGTACGCCTTCCTCAGGTCGAGATGCTTGTATATGATTCGAATCGGAGGAGGCATGTCCCGGTTGATGAAGGCAATGCAGGCTTCGTACTGATTGGACAAGTTATTCTCATCGCTGTGTTTATTTTTGCTCAGGAGGTTAATAGCAATAATAGGGTATCCATATCTTGAAAGCAAATGTTTGAAGTGTCTCTTGGTGCACGTAAAAAGGACGTCATTTTGTATGCATTTTATTTTTGGTTTCTTCAACAAGTGGTAGTTAACCCCTTGACTCCAGAACACAGGAACGGATCCCCTCAACTGTACGTAAGAAAGAATAGCCGTTTCGTAATCTCTTTGAAATAAAATAAGTTCTGTTTCCACCTGGTTCGCTGCGTATCCTTTGGCATTGATCCCTCTCTTTCGGTACCTCGTCCCAGCGTATTTGTTACACCTCCTGGCGATGAAAGTGACATCTATAACTTTCCCCTCACAACAGAATTTTGACTGAACAAAGAACCCACTGATTGTTGCCACACATATGAATACATTCTGCCGAATGAAAGACTTACTGTGGTAACGATTCCACAGGTACTCATTTGTGCAATCCCTACAGTGGATGTTGCCTCCTCTCAGGAAATCCTTCTGTAAGGAATGATTCTCCTGGACAGAGCAAGGTAAATTGTATGTGTAGGAAAAATAAATGTGCTTGTGGTTAACGCTGTTGTAGAAAATCTGGACCAATTCATTCTCATCGTTGAAGTTTTCAAAGACGTCATCCCTGAAGGGGATCAAGAGGACCGACTTAACGAGGTACACCTTATGCTCATTAAACAGGACAGCTACTTTCTCCTTCTTCGTGATGACGTACAGATAGGGATAATTTAAGAAACGAATGCATCCCAGGACCCCCTCACACTTGCCTACATATTCGAGGCCATTTTTCCCGACGAAGTTACGATAGGAGGACTTCTGATGTACTTGGAAGTTCCGCTTCACTTGGACCTCTCTGCTGCGTCCCACCTCCGTTATTTCGTACGCCTCCTGCTTTTTGTTCAGCCCCACGATAAACAGTGAGTCGCGGCTCCCATACACCTTCACCTTCCGCAGCGCGGATAAACTCCCCGTCTGCATCTCGCAAAAGGGGATGAGATGAGACCGTTTTGTGTGCTCCCCTACTCCTGGCCTCGTCTCCAAGTTGATCTGCGCGCCTCCCGCAGCATTAATCACCCGTTCGAGCCGTTGGCGGCTTTCTTCGGTCACATTCTTGGCTTCCCTGTTGCGTGCTGGTTACGGTTTACTGCTTCCTGCTTTCTGTTTTTTTTTTCTTTCTTTCTTCTTCCTCACCATTTTCTTTTCTTTCCCCGCCGCACCGCTACGCCGAATAGCGCACCTGCCCGTTCGCCGCGAGCCATCCAGCAACAGAACACTTTTTCATAAAATCACTCCGAAGTTGACTCCCCCCTGTCGCCTCCACGTGGGGGGAATAACGTCCGAAGAATCACCTGGGATGAACCGCGTAGGAAGAACCATGTGACGTATCCTTTTGTCCCGACTTTCCCCCCTCTTAAAGGAAACCCCCTTCTCGTGGGCTCTCCCCTCCCGCACTCTGAGTCAGTCTATGTGCACCTGACGTCCAGCACGGTCAAGTGTGATCGCCAGAAAGGAAGTACACCCATGTGTACATATATACACACATAAGTAAACATATATACACATGCGTGCGTACCAGTGGGCGCTCCCAAGGGAGCAGATGCCCCCTCGGCACTTGCCCTGTGTAGAGAATAATTCTGTGCGTCATTTTTTTCTCGCGCCGTCTTCCCCGTATCGTCTTCCTTGCGCCACCTTCATGTTCACCAGCTGCCGAGGTGAAGTCTGACCCCGCACAGCAGACAATCATCACCCTTTCCCCGGAGTTACTCGCCTCCATTTCGGCTTCCACCCCCTCAAGCGATGCTGCAAAGGGGAAAGCTGTGCACTGAGGTGATGCGACTATGTAAGGCACTTTCACATGGCTATATGGCAGCAGCCCACATGACGAGGTGTGCATGCAAAAATGTGCCGCGTCCCCCAGGCAGAGGGGTAGCTGTCGTGCACGAGGATTCGCCGGTGTCACAGTTGTGCTCACGCGCGAGCGTTGCATACGTGTGCTCTGCCCGAGCGTTGCATATGTGTGATCTGCGCGCCCCTTGGTATTTCATGCGCCTCGTCCGTTCTGTATACACGCAGCTATGTACATATGGATGCATGGATGTATGCACGTATCCATGTATGTGTGTATTTTTTCTTCTTTATTTTTCCTGTCTTCCCATTTTGTGTGCGTTTTTTTGTTTTTTCTTTTGTTTTCAACCTTGGACAAGGAAAGTTCAACCCAGAAACGTCCTTCCAATTCTTCCTCCTCCTGCTGCTGCCCCTCCTAAAATGCACAGCGGACAAAGAACACCCCCCGCACGATGATTAAAAATATCTTCAGTGAGTATCTGAAGTCGCATGAGGGGCGACGGAAGGACCAACAGGCGCTCAGCAACGTTGCGAGGGATTACTCGGTAGGTTCTCCAGGGCAGGGGGTGGAACGTACAGAACGTCCTAGAGACGAGCTCCCCGTCGGGTGTGCCCTAGCAGGGCGTCTTCCTAACGGGAAGGACTCACTCCAGGACGTTCGTCAACACCTTCCGCACCGCGTCTCACCCCTTCCCATCGCTTCTAACCCCTCCCCCCCCGCGCAGAACAACTACACCTCCGACTGGCGCTGGTTTAGCATCAAGTGCGAGCGGATAATTGAAAACGAGATGCAAAAAAAGTCCCTGCGTGAGGAAGACAGGAAGAGGAAGCCTTACAGCACCTGGGTGAAGGAGGCCTATAATCTCTCGACCTTCAGGTCCTTCTTTCCAAAAACCCTCCTCAAGGTTTACAGCCGATGTGATGACCCGAACAAGTTTTTTTCTAAACTTGTTATCCAGAAATTCGATGCCGTCGTGGTGCGCTCACCTACAGACACTGCGCGGCAACGGCGCAGCGAAGGCGCACGCCGAGAGAGGCTGAGAGAGGCCGGGAGAGGGTCCTCGAAGAATAAACGAGGCCCACTTCTTAACCTCTTCTTAACCACTTCTGACCCACTTCATGGCCACTCCTTTTCCACCCATCCCCCTCACCTCAGTTCTTCTGCGACGCGAGCGGATTCTCCAACCTGGCAGAGCAGCTAGACAAGCGAATCAATGGAACGGAGCTTCTAGGAAATTGCCTGAACAAGTTTTTTAATATCCTCATCAAGATTATAGACTGTTGGGGTGGAGACATAATTAAGTTCAGTGGCGACGCTGTGTTGGTCATTTGGCCTCTGCGGCGGGGCCACAGGGGAGAAGCGGAGAAAAAGTCCACAGGGAGCGTCACGGGGAGCGTGGCAGCGCACATGGAAGAGTCGATCGATGGGGTCAAACAAGCTGAGAGAGCCAAAACAGGCAGGACAGCCAAAACAGCCAAACCAACCGCATCCCCTGCAACTTCCAACCCTTCTGGGGAAGGGACCCACCCGCAAGACAACTCCGACTACTACCCATCCGACACCACGACACCCAACGGAGAGACAATCGACGGAGAGAAAAGGAAAAACCAAAAGGAGAAAAATGTGAAGAAAATATGCCTCCTCGCCCTGGGATGCTGTGTAGACATACATAAACTGCTAAACAAGTTCCCGACGCCGATCGAAAATAAATACCTTAAGGTTCACATCGCAATAACGTACGGTAAAGTCAGCTTTCTCCAGTTGGGGAACATACTGAACAAGAGAGACTACCTCCTCTCTGGGAAACCTCTGGAAGAAATAGGAATCGCTGAATCTCTTGCTAGAAATGGAGAGAGTGTCATATCTCAAAGGTTTTACGAAAAGGTGAAGGATAAAATTCTGGTGAAGGAAACGCCAAAGAAGAAGTTCCTCCTTTTCGTTAAGATGAAAGAGGAGATAGACATGCGCCAGATGAAGCGGGAATACGAGCAGGAGGACGAGTGGGACGTCCCATCGGGAGAACTGTCAAGAGGACTCTCTAGAGAACTGTCTAGAGAAGAGCCTAGAGAAGAGTCTACAAAACAGCCCAGAGAAGCCTCTAGAAAAAAGTCTACCGAACATCCTAGCGAAGTGCTCAATACGTTGACAACACGCAGACAAAGCAGGTACGATCCAGATGAGACCCCCCTCGCACACGAGCACTTCTGCTTCTTGCTGAAAAGTTTCATCCCAGACATAGTCTATCGAAAAATGTCCATCGGTTGCAACATCTTTCTTAACGAAATCAGGAAGGTCACCATAATCTTCCTTTCCGTGAAAGACATAGACACCTCTACGATGATCGGGGTCTACTCTGCACATGGGATTATGAAGCTAACACAGAAGGCCGTGTTCACGATGGAGGGTACCATTAACAAATTCATCTACGACGATAAGGGCATTCTCATCCTCATCATGTTTGGTCTCCCCCCGCTGTACCACTGTGACGATTCGGTGAGGGCTCTGCTGACTTGCTTCCGCCTGATAGATGCTCTGAAATCTCTCAAGCTGAATGGCAGCATCGGTATCTCCACTGGAAGAATATGGTGTGGAATCATAGGGAACAAAATCAGGAAAGAGTACACTGCACTAGGTGACTCAGTCAATGTTGCTGCCAGACTTTGCTGCAAAGCTGGGAACAAAGAGATCTACGTGGATGAGAACACCTTCAACGGATGCAAGCATTTTATCTCGTTTCAGAAGCTCATCTCCATTAAAGTGAAGGGGAAGAACAAACTCATTAAGATTTACTCGCCCATAGGAACGATCAATAGGGGGTCTCCTCAGCTGGGCTTGGAGGAGGGGGCCGCGCATGGCTACTTCACCGATGAGGAGTTGCAGGGGGTAGCGCATGGCTACTTTACCGACGAGGAGTTGCAGGCGGTCGCGGAGGAGCTCTCCGAGGAGGGGGAGCCACAAAAAGGAAGCGATAAGAGGACACAACGGGGGAGTGGAAGCGGAACCGATAAGTGTACACAACGGGAAAGAAGCCTCGGTGCAGGGCGTGAAGACGAGGTAGGCTCCCGTGGGGGGGCCCGGGACGAGCGCAACGGCCACATCGCCGAGGATGGTACAGATGCCACCCAACCTCCCGACCTCAACGAAGTGATCGACTTCTCCTTCCTAAACAGGAACTACCTCCTGCGCTACTACGAGCGCACCCTCCGCCGCAGGATCAAGCGCCTTCTGGGGAAGAAGGACTGCCTCTACTACTTGAGGCAGTGCGAGGAGGGCGCCGGCGCCACGTGGAAAGAGAGGTGCCAACCCGACACGCAAGCTGCCTACCAGGGCGACACGCAAACTGCCTACCGGGGCGACCCGTACGGCCAAATCAAGACCACTACCCCTCTGGACTACAACACCCACACAGGACCGCTCCTCTTGCACGAGTACTACGACCCCCTCTACTGCGACTTCACCCAAATGTATAACACAGGCGGAGTGCTCTTCCTCCAGGGAAACGAACATCTCGGAATCTTCGAAATTATTACCCTCATCTCGAGGAAACTAAGTAACTTCAAGTCATTCAAAATTAGTAACATGCCGAATTCTCTCTATATCAATGTAACGAACCCGCTGCTTCCCTGGAAAATGCTCTGTAACGACATGCTTCACCTATGGGGTGCTTGTCAGATGAGGAAGCAAAATACCTTAATTAGAAATGGAGACAACTACAACTTGCTTCGCGAAATCACGCACCCCTCATACCATTGGTTTTTTAAGTGCATGTCTAGTGTCGTGGACGATTTAGTCATCCCGTATTGGGGACACTCAAATGGGAAAGGGGAGAAGCAGAAGGAGAAGCAAAAGACAGGAGCTCGTTCTAATCAGACTGGAGCAGTGCTGCTGTCTACGCATCAACCCACAGACAAAGACACCGATGTAGGGACGGGCAACCCTACTGATGAACTCACCTCTGCGGATACCCATGCTCGACAACAGGGGGAGGGAAGATCTAAAAATAAAACGAAAAAGAAGAAGAAAAAAAAAAAAAAAACAATGGCTCCTCCATCAGCAGTTGCCCCAGCACCTGTGGCAGCTCCGGGAACGACAGATCCGGACAGCGGACGAGAAGGAAGAAGAAAAAGAGCAACATGTGCAGCCTGATTCTAACCGCCATCGACCACCTCTTCAGTAGTTCCACGCAAGAGACGGGGCGCCGCCCTGGACCGTTTCCTAGCCTGGGCCTCGCGGCGCCCAGGGAAGCGTCTCACCGGGCGGGGAACAAGGCCGAAACGAAGACTCTTCCTCAAACGGTTCCTAAATGGGCCGGGCAAACCGCTTCCCAAAGCGTCGCTCAAATCGCCGCTGAAGCCATCCCACCCGGGAGTTACCGCTGCGCAGAGGCGTACCCCCTATTCAAGGCAAACGCGAAGGACAACCGAATGGGGATCATCAGCTCCATGGTATATTATTTCTCCCTGCACGAGTACACTTTCATCGTCTTCAACTACCGAGCGGGCACCTCCCTAAACGTCATGCGTGACGAGAGTGCGTGGCAGATCTGCAAAAACATTGCCAAACTGGCTATGTATAAGCGAGGCAAAATTTTAGACAGCATACAGAGAGAGGTCAAACACTGGAGGAGGAACCACTGCAGGGGGTGTAACTACTGTAAGGGAGTTCCCCATGTGGGAAGTAGCCATCCCTTCGCCGGGAATGATGACCATAGCTTAGCTACCCCGAGTGAAAGCTACGATTTTGGGCAGAGAAACCACTCATCTGCCAGCACACACACACGAAGTGGACAGCCCTCCCACGAGGAAGAGAACAAAGCACTATCTTCGCGTAACAGCGAGGAGGAAACAGGCAGCCACGGCCAAAGGCATAGCCATTTAAGCAGTGATTGTCGTGGTCGTGCCTACGAAGCTATTACCCCATCCGGGGGAGAAACAGAAAGGCACGTAAACAAGTCAGGCAACCTCGGAGACATCAACATAGCGCAGATGTTCAGAGAGGAGCGGGATAAGCAACCCCAAGGACTCAACAGAAGGTTCTACAAAACCTTGATCCCAAACATAAATGACGACATACTTCTCTACGTCGCTGAGCAGAAGATGAGGGAGCAGCCGGAGGGGAGAGGTCGTCACATACTGGGGCATGCAGGCGCAAGTCAAATGGATTATGCACCCAATGGAGGAGTTCCATATGACACCACACGTGTGGAGAAGCACCTCACCAGCAGGACGGTCTACTCCATGCAGGAGAATAAATCCCCCCTGTGTGATCCCATCTTCAAAGGAAAACACAAACCGTTAATCTTCCTATTCGTAAATGGCATGAAAAACGATGACATAAAAATCAGAGCCATACGGAAGATAAAAAAATATGCACAACAGTGCAACGGATACTTAAAGCTGGAGGAACTAAGTAGAGAAAGATTATTCGATTTTGTAAGTCTATGTTTACATGTGAAGAAGGACGAGTTAAACGAGGAGCTAATCGATTATCTCCATAAGACATGCTTCGGGATCCCTAAGTTTGTCCAGTATACTCTCTTCTACCTCTTAACAAAGAAGTACATAAAACTATACAGATGTGCATACCCCGTTAAATCGAGTGATCCTGTTGGTGAAGCACCTAACCAAAGGGACACCTCAATTGGGGGCAGCGGCACAGATCAACATTCACCAATAAGTGGATTCGCTTCAAACCCTGGGAAGGGCCCCATGCACAAGGAGGGTTTCTACTCTGTGGGTAGCACCACAGACGCAGGCTCCACCAGCGCACACGACCCCACTTCGTACACCTACATCAATGAAGCAACCAAGCAGATCATTAGGCATCAAAATGGGTTCCGAAACTTCCAGTTCTGTGATGATAGCGGGAGTGATGCAAACGGCAGTCATGCAAACGGCAGTCATGCAAACGGCAGTCATGCAAACGGAAGTCATGCAAACGGAAGTCATGCAAACGGTAGTGATGCTAACGACAGCCAAGAGGGACAACTCGGTGTCAATCGAGACGCCTCTCTCAGGGGCCCACCTTCAAAGGAAAAGGATAATCCAACCGGAACTCATCAGAAGGGGTACAAGTACAGGATAACAGTAGTACGCGATTTGAATTCGGCTCCCTTGGTTCCACGTCTGGTAAGTGGGTCTGGCCCTCCAAGGGTGTCTACCCAAATGGTCATCTGTGAAAGCCCTTCCGACTGCATTCTTCACCAAGTGAAGTTCCACACATGGATGCCTGTGAATTTTTTTGCATGTCTACCCTCCAAGTGAACCCGCACATCTCCACCGCTCATCCCCACTTCAAACGCCGCTCCTCGCAGACCGCCCACTGCATGTCCCTGATCGATAGCCTTAACCAGGAGGAGCTCCTCTTGGCCAAGCTATGTTCCTTCTTCAAGCAAAAATTTAACATAAAGAAAATGAAGTGCATATTCCCCAGATATATTTCTCTATCCGAATTGAAAAGAATAATTAGGGATCTCATAAAGAAGAGCGTCTTCCAGCTATGCGAGGAGAACAGAGCGAACCAAGTGCCAACGGACGATGTGAACTCCATACACAACATCAATTTTGTGTACAGGGATATCTACAACCTTATAAATGACATCACTACGAGAAGGCACAAGCACCATTCCCTGTTCAGTAGGAACTCCGCGATCTCAGACGAGGAATCGTTCTTCTGCATAGTGAATTTTTCCCTCAAGAAGGTAACAAAGGAGGAGCAGCAGGATGAAATGAAATTGGCTGAGGGGTGCAAGAATGGAAGACGGCCTCCCACCCGCATCCTCCATTAATCCATTTGGAAGAAGAGTGGAAAATGCACACAACAGGGGGGGAAGGGTCCGATGTAGATCCTCCCCAAAAGGTGTTTGCATCGCAGTACATACATGGTCTTCTACACATGTGCGCACATTTTTTTTTTTCTTTCGCGCGTGTATACCCCCCTCACAGGTGCTGAACGATTTGCTCGAGAACGAAGAAAAAAAATACATCCAAAAAATATACAAAAAGTACTTGGACGAGTAGATAAGAGGTACTTGCGAGTGCAACTATGGACGGTAACACCATTTTTCTTTAAATTTTTCCAGCGTCAATTTGCAACCATGTTGATTTTTCCCCACTTGGCTATCCCCATAGCGGCGTTTCTCCCATTCTCAGATCGCGCGAAAGAGCCATGTTTATATATACATATATACATCCGCGTTAGCTTCCCTTTTCGAAGCTTTCCAAACGGTCGCAGACTTGTCTACACCGTTGTACGCACAAGAAGAAACGCTCTCGTGTTAAAACCATTCCATGCACATACTTGACTAGCCACACATTTTTACCTGAACTGTTCAGACACAAAGGTTCATTTTTGTTGCACATTTACCTGACCGATTATGAAAAAAAAAAATAAATTATTCAAAAAGGGCAACTTTTGCATGAACGAATCAAGCGAATTTGGCCCGTTGCGGCAAAACGGAGTGGCCAAATTGCAGACGGACGAAATGGAGAAGGAAGGGGCGAGTGATTTACCTACCTTCTCGGAGGCCCCGGAAATAAGCTCCAAAATTTATGACCACATCCTCGAGTTGGATTCCCACACGGGTAAGCCTCCGCGGCGTCGAGTTTAATGTTGTAACGGCGATTTTGTCGAACCATCCACCACTTTAACCGCGCTTCTGTCTTACCGTCCACCATTGTAACTCTCTTTCCTTTTCTTCCCCCTCGTGCGCAGAAGCGGGAAATTCCGTTCGCTCCCGAGGAAACCGCACCGAAGCGACAGCTCGTGGGGAAGTCCAAGCAGATGCAGAAGCCTACCGACGCAGCCACGAAGTGAATAGAAATCCACATTCGAATAAAGAAAACGGAGTGGGCCAAGAACAATCTATGGGGGAACCCCAGCATAACCATACCGCGCTGTTAAACCAAAACTACGACGAGGTACCAATGGCTGCGAGAAGGGGATCCATGCAGGTAATAACTACACTGTGGTTCTAACCCGAATGGTTACCTTCCCCATTATTCAACACGATGACTCCATTAAGAAAAGGAAAAAATATATAAAAAAAATGGTCGCCCCATTTTGGAAGGATCTCATCCAGGACACACATAAAAATACCCTGGAGCACAAGAAGACCAACTTTTTATGCCTCGAGGAGATTTTGAAGAAAATGGACCTGATGCTGCAGCTGCAAATGAAAATGAGCCAGTCGGTTGCTTCGCACCGGGAGGAGCGCCAGTTGCTCTTTCAGCACCTTTACGAGGTAGCGCTCAAGTGTATCTGCCCATTGGTAGAGGTCAAGTGTATCCTTCCATTCGTGACTACCTCCCCCTCTTACACGTCTACTTTTCCCCCTCCCCCCCTGAGCAGTTGAAAAAACAAGTCGCTGACAAGGCCTTCAACTCCCTGTGCAACAAAGACCTCGCTAGGCGATACGTCGAATGGGCTGAAGCGAAACAAAAGAAAGAGATCGCACTTTCCAAAACGGAACCTACGTGCGTGGAGTTGCAAAGGGAGAAATATAACCCAACACAGAGCTTCCACGTGGCTACGAAGGGGACCAAGAATACACGTTTGTTCTTTTTTCACCTAAGTGAATTGGAAGAATGCGTCCACTCCTTCACTCATTTTTGCAGAGACATGTCGACTCGGATTTGTCCTCCGCCCGAGGGGGGATGTACCCATTCGGATTCGCTTGAGCAGGGGGTACGCGCACATAAGAAGGACGGTGGAAGCAGGAAAAAGAAAAAAAAAAAAAGAAGCAACAGGTGATATGCTTCCACTTGGCTGCAACAATCTGACCGTTACACCCACCGCTTCACCGCCGCTTTACCGCCGCTTCACCCACCGAATGACCTTTTCTTTTCCCGCATCACCGTTGTGCAGTTTTTCTCCTTCCTAAGGGACCCCCAAGCGATGCAACTAATTAGAGGTCTCGAAAAGAACCTAACAAAGATAAAGAGTCTGTGCATGCAAAGCTAACTTTAGTTCACCATCATGTGGCTGCGCGGGATTGTATTCATGCAGAGGTCAC